CACCTACCGGCATAGACTCAAACGGCCTGGACACAGCATAAATTGAAATGAAAAGTCTCACATAACACATTATATTTTCACCTATAACTTATTTTCTTCTCATTCAAACAGAAATCTTAAACTTGGAAATTATCAGTGATAAAACTGATAAAAATCAACATATAGTATGGCAACGTTGCAAACTCGAGAACCGTATGTATCAAGAACTGACAATTTCATGAAATCATGCATCACTTAATCACTTTATTTTAGGTTTTATGGAAGGAAATGATGAAAAGTTAGGTTAAATCAGTCAAAATATTGCATTTTATTATAATATAAATGAAAATAGCAAATGAAACGTATTCTTCCATATTCAATTTCAGTTAAAATATAAAAAGTAAGTTACTTCATATATTAATGCTAAAATTATGAAATTCGCACCTCCGGATCCTTGACCAGAATCATAAATAATAATAATTACTCACTAGAGATAGGTCCTACAGTGTCCTTCAAGGATATATCCTTCAAATTTTTAATCGGAGTCTTCTGAGGAAAACTGTTGACAAAAGTCACTTCATGGCCTTTGTCGGCCAGTTCTTTCATTAGACGAAAACATAATGTAAAATGACTGTGGCCAGTGGGCGGACATAGTCCCAAAATTTTAGAAGCATCGACACAAACACCGAAACTCACATATATTCCAAAAATTAAAAATAATTTCATTTTATAATGGGTTGTATGTATGTAGGTATATCTGGTACTGTTACAATTTTAAATTCCACACCTAAATCTTAAGAAAACCAATAGCATTGTAATAAACAATCATCATCACAAACGCGCCTTTTTATCAGAACTTATTAATAAACTGAACTTTGGATATGAACTTAATTAATAGTCAAGAGCTGCAGTCAACACGGGTACCAAACGAGATAAACATACGGCTGTAAATTTGTAGAAATACCGGTTGAATAGGGAAATTATGATGTGGCAGGGATACCGCGATTGCGAAGTAGCATAGTAGAAGTTAAAAATACGAGGATTGTCTTTTATGTTTTACAAATAGAGCCAGTGGCGGCGCGCGGTTTAATACTTTGTTTGAGCACAAAAATAAAATAAAAGAGGAGATATTAAATTTGGGAAGTACACTTTATTGAGGAACCGCCACTGTACAGCTAGAATGGAACAGTAGATACATTTTAAGAGGAATTTATAGCGTCTTCGAATCTAGTAAACAGCTTGCACTGAGTGCATACGAAAGGTGGGAGATATGTCAATACCAGTTACTTTTTAATCTGAAATGTAACCGGTATCGATATATCGCTCATCTTGTATGTGCACTCCACGCAGGCAGGGCAGTGGAATCGAAGACGCTATTATTGTTTTTTAATGTATTCACTACGAAGACTAATGCACTTTTACCAACTGGGGTAACTGTTATTCCACTCCTTTATTGGTATAGTCAAAATTGCGCTTTTGAAGCCATCGACTGCTTCTTCTGGTGAATAGAACCTAAAAAATAAGGTTACAAAAGCCATAAACTAAGTGAAAAATATTTAACAAATACCATCTTTGACCAAAAAATCAAGTTATTGCATGTTAACAAAGTTGTAGTGTTTTTAGAAGTTTATTTTAACTTTTGAAGACGTGTTTCGTCAATAAATAAATAAATGACAAATTTACAGTATAATAGACGTATTATATACAACGCTAATTAGGGTATGTCCTGTTTTTGGAAGAAAGTCTGTTAATCTATAAATTTTCAGCATTGTTTTTATCACGATACTTAAATTGACTGCTGACTCTCACACTATAATATTGATTAATGTGAAATAAGAGCTGCCGTTTCAATTGTCAAGGTTTTTTTTGTTTGTACATGTTATTTTGATAATCATAATATACAGTGCGCGCATATACGTGGGCAAATCGGCAAAAAACAACTTATTGTTGAATGTTCAGATTCAGAGGTTAATTATTTGTTTTAATCAAACTCTTTATCAAAAATATATATTTTTTTGAGTAGAAAATAAAGTTTTTAAAAAATCCAATGTAAAAATAATGATTTAATGTAGGTATTTACAAAATTTTATGGATGTAAGTGGATCCATACCAAAGATACTTACATATTTTCTAAACTTTACGCGTATACTGTATATTATGAATAATTTTTATTGAGAAATTGAAATATCTATATTACAAAACTAACTTTAAAATTATTTATACACACTTTACATAAATATGCGATACAATTATGATTATTATTATCACTGTAGTAGTTTTATTTAATTTAATTATGTAATAGTGCAAACTACTATATATATATAATCTAATCCTGTGTATCCAAACTACTTTAACGATATAAAAATGTTATTCAATAAGCCCTAGACCCTAGATACCATATAGCAACAGTAAGATAAGTATAAGCTTTACTATCAGTACCTAGTGATTAATATAAAAATAGGTTAGGTAACTATAAATAAAATAATTTGCAATTAAATATTATCTAAAATTAAATAAAGATATATAAAAAAATGTTTCTAAAATAGGCAATGACCGTCAAAGATTGAGCAAAAAATTATTCTTCTAAGCTCTAAATTTGAAATGTTAGTAGATGAGATTGGCCAGTAGAACAAGGTCAGAGGCACAAAGAGAGGTAATTGGGTAATTAGTAATTATCCTAAGTACCCACTCACCATCCTTTGCGGAATTAGCAACTACGTCCTAACTGTCACGTAATAAGTGTTTTGCATAGTGTTATTGCGTAGTGTAATTGCGCAGTGTAATAATAATAATACTTTTCTTAATTCACCCTCTTACGAGTGAATTTTAACTCCAAAAGCTGAGCTTGTGCGGGGAAAGGGACGACTATTATTATTATTATTTGCCGTGGCGCTCCGGGGCGACTTAAAGATGATTGATTGTTCCATTTGATTTACAGGTGAGGAAAACCCGGAAAACCTCACCCACCATCATCGAGACGGTAATCTGCATGTCATATCTACAGAAATTGAATTTCTCTTAATACGGCATACATCAAATCCTATACAGAACCATGCAATTTTAATTAAAAATCCACATGGTCTGGTCTGGAATTCGAAGCCCGGCAGTCTTGGACCATAAACTTGCCTATAAATGAATATAAGCGCGTTAGACTGCTACACCACCGACTCGATGTAATGGCACCTCTTATTATTCCATACACATAGAGGTGCAAGTACCTCTCAGAGAGTATTTACTGTGTATATCATGTAGTGTGTAACGAGCATAGTAAGTATCCATATTCATTGAAGTGTAATTGCCTCTTAGATAGTAATTATAATGTATATCATGTAATGAGTATAGCCTTAGTACATCTCAGTGTTTACTATTGTGGCATAGGGAAAATCCAGTCCATGCCTAAACACATCCTTGACTCTCAACTGTCATAGCTAGAGTGAAGCGCTAGTCTTCAGCAGACACGTACGACGTAAACATTGGTGGAAGGGGTAGAACCCGACCCTTAACGCAACTCCATACTTGTATATTATAGCTTTGTTCGGCTTACTTTTGAGGACGGTTTAAAATCGTTATAATCATGCGCATTTAAATTTACGTGTTCGGGTTTCTCCAAATCTAGTCCTAGGACACTCTAGGATTGACTGTTTCGTGTGTAATTTAGTACGCAACTAATTTCCTATGCCACAATAGTAATCACTGAGATGTATTTAGGCTAAACTCAATACATGATATACATAGTAATTACTATCTAAGAAGTACTTACACTTCAATGAGTATGGGTACTTACTATGTACTTTGAGAGGTACTTGCACCTCTATGTGTATGGAGTAATAAGAGTTGCCATTACACTTATTACAGTGCATGATAGTAATTGGGAGGTACTTGCTAATTGCGCGGATGGTGGGGGTGGGAACTTAGGATAATTACTAATTATTTAATTACATCTCTCTGTACCTCTGACCTTGGTCCAAAACTGGCCAATCTCATCTACTAATGTTAAATGTGTTACATAGTTATTCTTCATATATTCCTCTTTTAGGATAAACACCATTCTTTTTTAAATAGAGGCGCTTAAAAAAACGTAGTTGTACACTCTCTAGTAAGTGTTTTTGATAATAATTAAAAATAGGTTTCCAAAAGGATGCATATTCTAATCTCGATCGTATATATAACAAAAATGAAGTACAAATAAGGAGTCTACATTTTTAAAAGATTTGCAGTTTCGCGCAATGAACCCATAAAATTTATTGGCTTCAAGAATGTTGAGGATAATATGTTGGTTAAAAGTTAAACCAAACACCAAGTACGAGGTAAAGGCTTATTGCTTATTTTATAATTATATTTAATCATATTTTGTTGCTTGTATAAGAAATAATTTTACAAATTTGAGTCAAGCTTATGATCTAGGCATCAGTTCTTAACAATGTCAAGGTTATGATGTAGGGCATCGCAATCGAACCTATTTTTAATTCAAAAAAATATTTTTTGGCCATCCGCATATTTAAAGTTATAAGTCTAGACAATGAAAAATATAAAGAGGAGAGGTCCAAAACTTGATCCTTGGGGAACGCCTGATGAGGCGATATTAGCTGGAAATATAGCCATTCTAAAAAACAAATTGAGACACTGTATGATATCTGATTTAAGTCCAAACGGTAGCAATTTATTTTGATGATCTATTTTATCAAAGGTATAGATCACGTCTACTTGCCCTTGTTTATCTAATTCCTCCAATAAACACTGAGTGATTGTTGCGAGATTCTTAACACGAACAAGTTATATTTGATTTAGACGTATATTTACTTACCTTATTTATTATAACATTGTCGTAGCAATGTAAAACATATATTTTTTTTATTAGGATTAAAAATTTCAATGTGTTGTTTTAATTTTTCACTTGCGTCATTGTTGTCCTGGAAAAGCGATTTGTAATACACCTAAGGTCGTGGGAAAAACCATACGGGTATCGTGTTGTCAGTTACGTTCTAAATTTCAGAATATTTTTTAAGTTAAATTAAAGAATAATGTATTAGCATTTATTTATTATATTCTTATTAATAAAAAAAACGAGATAGGCAGTGCATTACATTCAGTTAAAAATATAATTTATAGGCATTAATTTGAATCAGCAGGTTTTCTTTAGTTCTATGATTTCTTCATGAAGCTTGTCAATAACTGAGGTTTGAGTCTTGAGCTGAAAATATAAAAAAACTGTTTATGTAATAGATGCATCTAAATATTAAAATATATCAACATTGTTAGGGAAGTTTAAAAATCAATCTGGATAATAGACTTGCTTCGCAACAGTCATAACATAATAGCAGAAAGCAAGATTTTTAAAACAAGAAAATATTTCGTGTTTCTCTTGCTATAATGAACGAAAGTATGTTTCTTGGAACTATACCTTTATATAGTCTGTTCGCTATACTAACGCGGGTTTCGGATTAACAAAATTATGCAAATTAGTCATTGACAACCAGTTCCAATAAGCCTCTTTCCAAGAAATTAGGTAAAATTGCCCTAATGGTCAGATTTAAATTAAAATAACATTAGGGTAAGTACTAAATTTGTTACAAATATTGCAGTTGAATTGATTCTTTGCAAGTGTTGACATTGTATGTATATTGTAAATTTAGTGGAAATTTTAAAAATGCCTAGTGAGATGTAGATAGTCTATTTTGTAGTGTACATAAGTATTTTACAAATGAAAAAGAAAATGGCGGTCCTTCAAAATCGGTAATGTCTGTACAACAACGCGTATGCGATGCTCTAGGAATTAATGAAACCAAATTAGGAGGAGTATTACAAAATCACAATAGTGAACTGCCGAAAGAAGAAGATCATTGAAAACGAAAGATATATTACAGATGAAAAGAAATTTAAAATTCGTGATACCATTTATCGAATGAGGGCCAACAAGGAACATGTGACCTTAAATACAATTCTCTCGGAATAAACAGATAGAAAATTTGACGACATTGGCAGAACAAGTATATGGCAAGTGATACATAACTTGGGTTTCAAATTTCAAAAAGAGGATAACGGAAAGACCCTTTGTGAAAGAAGTTCTGTCGTGCACAACAGAATTAATTTTCTAAGAAAATATTCTAAATTTAAAGAAGAAGGGGCGAATTTTATATATTTAGACGAAACTTAGATATTTTCTAGGGGTACAACCAAGAGAATATGGCAAGATGATAACGTAAAGTCCATCAAACAAACCGATGGAGAAGGGAAGCGACACATAATTTTACATGCAGGAGGGAAATCGGGTTTTATAGAAGGTGCTAATTTAATATTTTTATCTAAATCAAAATCCAGTGACTATCACGATAATATGAACACAGAAATGTTTGTAAAATGATTGCATGAAAAACTTCTCCCAGGTTTAAGTAAGCCCGGCGTAATTATTTTAGACAATGCACTTTACCATTCTGAAGTATTAAACAATAGTCCAACGAATTCTTGGACTGTTGATACAATTAAAGAATGGTTGACAAAGGAACATATATCATTTCCTCAATATATATTAAAATCAGAATTATTACGCTTGACAAATATACACGAAAAACCAAAAACCTTTGTTATGGATCAGCAAAACAATATTATGACAACCATATTGGGCCTAATGGTTATAGTGACGACGCAGCTCGGGAAACTTGGCGAAAAGCACTTTCAATTGCAACTCCAGAAGTGTGGCGGAACTGTATATCCAAGTGCGAGAAACTAATAGAAGATTGGTGGACTCGTGAAAATAAAATAAACGAAATAAGTCCAATTATAATAACAATTAAAGGTGATTACAGTGATGATGATGACGATTATGATATTTTGGATGATAATGACTGATTTTCATTTTTGTTGGCAAGTTCAATTTTTTTATTTTACATTTGAAATTCTCTACATGGAACAAATTTTTATGTTAGAAAATATTTTATTTGAGCTAAATAACCCTCTTATTATACATAGACCATATTTTCTGTGTGAAGTGTAATATAAAAGTATTATTAGGTTTATAATAGCTACATTAGACTCCATTAATGAAGAACTTTAATTCTGCTCTCAATTATACAAAAGATTCTCCATTATTATTTAATTAAAAAGTTGTACATTATTTTTCATTTCATTTGACCATATTGATATTTCCCCAAAGAAAAGGTTAAACTTTCGGGTACTTACCTGGAAAATTTTTAATCCGAAACCCCCGTAAGTATAGCGAACAGACTGTTCTGTCTACTGGAAGGTTTCAGGCAGATTTACTCCACATAAATACATTCTAAAGCTAATAAGAAATTGGTAGATTCATTTATTGCAGCATAAAATCGTTAGAGATATAAAAATGTGATCATTAAATATAATTATAATTTGTGATAAAAGGACCTAGAACATAATTCCAATATTGGAATAGTAATATTTTGTTTAGTGGGAACAACTCTAGATTTATGTCATAAGAAATTAAAGAAGTAGTGTTCTTCAGTTATGATTATTTGAGTTGATTTTGCCCTAAGGTCGTATAGTTCTAGACCTAAATGTCCTAGACGATAATGAAAATAAATAATGCTTTCAAATAATGAAACAATAAGCACATAAGGCTGCAGTGCCACCATGGAGAGGAGGAAAGACTGGGACCCGAGCCTCCTTGTGATAACTTGCATTCCTCAGAGGGGAAAAACACTTGATATGATTTTATGGTATTATCATGGGTTTTTTCTTTCTTTGAGTTTAGAGTACCACCCGATAGAACAGTTTTCAATTTATTTTACATGGACTTTTTCAATTTGTCTGAAGGATAAAACATTTTAGATTTATGTTAGATGTCACTTATTCCCTTTAAACGTTTGACTTGCTTTGAGTACTTTGTATTTTTTTTTGGGTTTAAAAAGTAAAAAAGATAAATAACCAAATTAATATTATAAACATTTAAATAAATTCGTTTTCTGAAGTATATATATATTTTTTATATTACTACAGAGTAAACCATTTTTTTATTTTTTTAATTTCTTTGTATTCAAATATAATATAACTATAAAAAATATTGATATGAACATCACAAAATTAATTAAAATAAAAAAAAAATTAATGTGTATACGTCTAAGCGAAATAATCCCAATCTATGTGAGCACAAGCCATTTTTTTTTGTTTAATTTTATCTTCGCCACTCATTGATTATAAGTACTATAGCTGATTTATATCTAAAGCACTTCATATATTATAGATTATTTAATATGTATAACCTAACCAACTTTATCATTTTTTAGTTAAATTGCAATCTATCCAGCTTGGTTAGCAGTGGGTTATGATTAATTTTTGTCAAAGGGTTTAAAGAAGTCTACTTGACCTCTTCTGTTCAATGATTTTGGAATAAATTAGTTTTACCGAATAAATTACTTCCTAACTAACTGTAAACCATACTGGTTACATAAAAAACTTTGTAGAAATGATTGCATATTATATTTTTATGACTTTCTATACTCTTTACATTTTTATCCAAAATATTCATGTTAAATCCACATGTCTACTCTCAAAATTTTTGGCAAGATTACAAAATTTTAAAAAGGAATTAAATGTTACTGCTTTAAATAGTAATTTAAGTACAAATGTTTACCTTTTCTTCAGTATCCACAAATTTTATAGTAACATCCATCTTCTCTTTCTTTAAATCGTCCAATTCCCTCTGGCTTACTTGAAGATGATCCGACAAAATTTGGCAAATATTCTCATAATTAAAGTCTGGATGGTCAAAACTCTCATCGGCCATCACTTTATCGTAATTTTGGGATGTTTCAAATTCCAGAGTATCATTTTTATCAATATAATCCATAATATCATTGTATAGGACCGAAGCGGTTTTCTCGCATATATGTTTGGTTTTTTTAGCGGAGCTTTGTTTAGCTGTGTGAATATCTTTAGCTAGATCTTTGAGTTTTTCGATAGTGTCTGACAGAATTGAATGTTGTTTGGATTCGAATTCTTTTCGTAGATTTTCGATAGCTTTAAAAATAATATCTTTGATGTCAACAGATGTATCTTGTCGAAAGTCGGATACAGAGTTTGTGTATTTGCTGCATCTGTGTTCTCTGTTAATAAGTTCATTACGGTCAACTTTTTCTTTCAATCCTGAAAATAAAAAAGGAAATGTATTTACTGGAATTTTAAATACAAAGTCTTGTTTTTCTGATTAAATAATAATTATTAAAATCGTAGAAATTATTATTATTAAAAGTTATCGCGAAAAAACCTATTTAGTTAAATCTCATTTTCGCCATTTTTTCTTTGGTAAAACTTATCTACATTTTAGAATCTACCCTCTATATTAAACCTACCTGAAAGATTTTCTTGAAAATTCTCAATTATTTTTCCAATTTTATCCATCTTCTCGATAATTATGTATTCAAACTTTTCTCTATCGTCAACATGCCTTTTTATTTCTTTATTGTTAAAGAACTCCATTTTTTGGAAGTGGTCAAGCTCATCGGAACTTGTATAACTATGATAGTCGTCGTCTATAAACTCTTCACTGGTCCAAATATTAAAATATTTCGGAAGATTTTCGTATTTGTGAACAAGATTTTTGACTGTATTTTCGGAATCTGCTGAACTTTTTCCAGGGCTTCCAAAAGGAAAACGTTGGATGTCTTCCTTGTTTAATAGCATTATTTTTTCTTTCATCTTGTCGAGGTCTGTGGAATTTAAGTTTCTTGTGCTTCTATAAGGAGTGGAAGCTTGGCTTGGACCACTTCCGTAACTTCTATTACTCTAAAAAAAAACTAGATTTGTAGAATTTGCCAAACTTAAACTAAATAAACTAAAAAAGTTATTTTAAAAACCTGACTCTAAAAATTAAAAGGTTAATGAGGAGAGTGAATAACTTACAGAGCCAGAATATCTAGAGAAATTTTCATGTCTTTCTTTAAATTCGCTACACCTGCAATTCTGGAATGGAAAAAAAATTATTAATTTAAGAAAGTCCAATGGTGTATTTTGTATACCTTGCGTGAACAAAATACTGCAAATTGACCATCTTGCTTTAATGGAAACCGCGGGCTTTTTGAAATGGTACATGATTTTTCAAATGAAGAACAAATGTAGTAGTCTGCCGGAGATACCTGTAGATCTGAAATAAATAAGAAATATTTATAGCTGTGCGAAGGAATTCAAAAATTTAGTACAATAATTCAGAAAGTCCCAGATGTGGTCAACATTTAAATAAAAAATGTTCTAATAAAATATCGACTTGGAATACCAAACATAAAGAAAGACCCATGATGGATTAGAATTGTGTTTCGACGTTTGATTACCCCCTAAAATAATTGCAATTAGCCCAAAAGGTGTAAAACGATACATTTAACTTTTCAATGTTTAAATGTAGTAGTAAAATATCTAGTATAAAAATGACCATCCGACTTTAAAAAGTATACAAAATTAAACAAAATATTCAGTGTAATATTTGGAAAAGAATATTGAAATCAAATATCAAGTGCAGTGGAAAAGTGAAAAGATTGAGCCCATATAAAACGAAGAAAAGAAGAAGTACATCAAGCCCATGCCAACAATTTGTATGGCCCAAGCTCATTGTGGATTATTGATTATTTTATTGCGTACACGATTATAGCCACCAAAAGCGACTATGGGCTATTTTGAGCATTTGTGTCCCTTTCTACTTAAATAATATGGGACAAAAACCAGAGAGGGAAGAATAGTTTGTGTTACCGATGTAGCACGTTCCTGGAATACAGGTAATAAATTAATATTTGTTTATATACATAGAACATTAATATCCTGTTTCTTCTAAGAATAATTAAATTAATTTAAAAGTAAACATCTTAATATAAGATATAATTCAGATATTCGTTAAGTATCATTTTTTTTATTTTTATGGAGATTTTGAGAACTAATAATATCAAAAACTACCTATTAAATAGCCATTTTGAGTGAAGTTAAAGTAAAATTGTTAAAGAAGGCGATTAAGCATAATAGCTCATATTGCATTAAATGATTATAAAAATTGTTTGATTTAAAATTCTAAGAAATTATTTTTTTTGTTTTGTTTTATAAATAACTGTTCTGTCGGTTTTTACTAACTTTTGCAAAGTATAATTTTCTGTGACTAGATGCTCTTAACTAAATTTCTTTTTAGGAGCTATACAAAGGCAACTACAAATCAAAGAGAATAATCAATCCAGTTATGGCTAAAGAGGAGTGATCGAATGCGCTACAAAGAAAATAACCCTTAGTGACCTGCGATTAATAGATATTTTATCAATAAATATTTTAATTCTATTTTTTGCATTATTTATAATCTGCAAGGTTGTTCTACTTTTTAATAACCAAGATATCCGACGTTCTACGTTCATAAGACATCTTAAAGACATCTTATGTATGGCTTCACAAGACCATTATAAGCTATTAATAAGTCGTCTTATTTATGGCTTATTTAAAGCTTCACAAGACCATTATAAGCCATTAATAAGACATCTTAAAGACGTCTTATTTAAGGCTTTACAAGACCATTATAAGCTATTAACAAGTCGTCTTAAAGACGTCTTATTTATGGCTTATTTTAAGCTCTACAGACTAATATAAGCCATTAATAAGACGTCTTAAAGACGTCTCCTTTTGTAACATCAGACGTCTTCTAAGACGTCTTAAAGACATCTTTCAGGAAATACCAGACGTCTTGATGACGTCTCTAATGTCTTATGCTAGACGTCTTAAAGACGCCTTTAAGACGACTTTGTGCTATCTGGATTGATATGACAGGTGTAAATAGGTTGCCAAATAACAAAACAGTATTCCAGGACACTTCTCACCAGGCCATTGTAATGTATCATGGTTGCTTTTGTGTCATTCACATACCTAGTATGTCTCTTGATGAAGCCAAGCATTCTGAGGCCTTGCACACTATGGAATCTATATGGTTGTTAAAAGATATTGTGGTATCAAAAATAATGCTCAGATCAATAACTGTCGAGGATCTATCTAGGTTGGCGCTGTCATACTATAACAGTTAAAAGTAGGATTGTGGGATCTTGTAAAATGCATGGTTGTGCACTTAGAAATATTTATAGAAAGAGCGTTATTTTTACACCAGGTAGCAAACCTGTTTAGGTCAGACTGTAATGAGGAGTTATTACCAGTTTTTCTACTAAAAAACTCCGCGAAAAGAAGGCATTGGATATTAAGAAAGCAGGACGTAATATCGTTAAAGAAAACAATAGGTGACCTAAATGTGATCTTTGAGGAACACCGGATAGGACTGAAATGTCACATGATACGAAATTAGACACCAATTACTCAAATAAGATTTAATCCAGTAAAAATAAGAACCAGAGATACCGATTTCGGAGAGTTTCTTGAGTAGCAATTCATGACAGACACTGTCAAAAACTTTTGACAGATCGGTGTAGGTGGTGTCAACTTGGTAACCATCTTCAATTAAAATTAAGAAGTCTTGATAGATTGCCAGATTAGTTGATGACTTTATTTGATATTGGTGAGTTTTTCACTGAGCAATCTACTTCTCTCTGCAGAGAATTTCGAGTGTATTTGTAGTGATTCCCAAAGCCGCAATTCAAGAGGAATTATGATGTATATAAAAAAATGTTCTAACTTCTCAATTGTGTTTTGAAAAAAAATTATTGGTGCACATTGGTAAAAATAAATATGCTTGTCATATATTTGGATTGTGGGACGTCTTTGTCACTCAGATGCAAAATATATAGAAGAGTTTAAAGCCATTTGTGATTAGTATTGTCTCTAAAGTATATCGATTTGTGTTAGTGGGTGATATTAATTTAGATTTTCTTGGTTATAATTTTTATATTTACAAAATTAAGAATCTGTTCACAAGCAGTTATGCAACAAAAAGTAACTAAACCTACACCCATAACTCATGCGGCGGGCGTAATTTCGGCCGGTAATCCCCTCGCCTACCTGCCAAAAGCAAAGTGCCCATCTAATGGCATAGGTAATTTCGGCCGAGGGTAATGTTTATGATAGGATTTTGGAATATACCTGAAAATAATAATCTACCCTTTTCATATTTCCATTTCTTAGAAAAGTTAAAACATTTACATTCATCTTTCTTAATTTGATTTTCATTAGTTTAACAATGTGATTACCTAATTACAAAGTACCGGACCTTTCAATATTAAGATACTAACCACTTATTTTGTGGGCGACCAAGAGATAGAAAACATCTATATTACATGATGGCAGTTTCGATAGTAAAGAGTTCACGCGGTTGTGACTTGCTTATTGTAGAAAAATTTTCATTTTGTAAACAAGACGTATTAAAGAGTGGGGAAGTGCGTTAGAGGTGCATCAGGAAAAATTTAAAATGTTTAGCTAAATTGTATACTGTTGGTGCCGAATATATTGTGACCAGGAGTGAGTTAACTCACAATCATGAACCAGATCAACGTTTTTGCAGAGAAAAATTGTCACAAATGCATGCAAGCGAAAAACCCAGGAGGACATATCGGAGAAACCTTAGAAAATTATAAAAAGGGTCCTTTCAACAAATTTACCGGACGAATTGATTACCGCGGATGTAAATCTGATAAGAAGAAATTTGTATAACAGTCAGCTCTTGCCAGCCCTGTCTAAAGAAATTCATGAAGTACATACTGTAGTTGATATGTATTCATTCTCCTAAAACGACAACAGGTGAAAATTTTTTGTTTATTAACAGTTCAGTTGATAATATCATTATTTTTTCTTGCCAAACAAATATTACTACGTTGTGTAAAATGAAAGTAATATATATGGATGGCACATTTTCTTTTTGTACGAAATATTTTTATCAATTATTTACCATTCATGGCCTGGAAAATGGGCACTATATACCTCTTTTATATTGTCTGTTACCAAATAAGACTGCTGATACATATATTAAACTTTTTCTGTTGCTTAAATCTAAAATTTTGGAAGTTTTTAATATATTTTTTGAACCGATGGAGGCATTCGTAGATTTTGAAATTAAGAAATTAAGAAATGTTTTGTCAAAAACGAAAAAATGGTTGTAGATTTTACTTACATCAAGCGTGGTACAGGAAAATTCAGTCAAATATATAAAGACAAAAACTCTGAAGAAAGTAAATGGCTTATTCACAATTTTGGGCTTACTTATTTAAAACCATCTGATGTTGAGGATTGTTTTATATTTGATTTAATGTCTTGCAAACCAAATAATGAACTGTTGGATAAATACGCAGACTATCTATTACAATATTATAAAGCACCTGATTCCGATTTTCCACCAAATATATGGGCAGACGAAAATTCATCTATAAAACGAACCACAAACGCTTGTGAATCGTTCCATTCTAAATTGAATTCTTCATTTTATTCTTGCCACCCTTCAATATTTATTTTTATAGAAAAGTTAAAAGAATTCCAGATCGATTCATATTTAAAAATAAAAAGTTTAAATATTACAGCAAAAATAAAAGACAAGCAAGTCAGAAATAAATTAAAATTTATTGAAAATATGGTAAATATGCTTCGGTCTGGAAAAATTTCTAGATTTAATTTTGTTAAAACTGTATCATATCAAAGTTCGTAAAAATGTAATGTATGTTTTTAGCTCTAGTTTTTAAGTAATTGTGTCTTTGATTTAGGTTTAATAAAGAATGTTATAGCAATTCTAGATCTTATTTTATTTTACCTGCTCCTACGAACCCTTAAACCTCCGGCCGAAATTACATATCCCCTTTAGGTACCTGTCCTTTTTCCGGCCGAAATTACATCCGCCCAACTCATGACAGTAAGTCTCTAGTTGATTTTATATTAACTAATAAAGAAACTTGTGTTACAGAAGTTCATGATACTATAATAATTAGTGACCATTCTATTACTTTTGTTATTTTTTCTAATACAACTAATACTTCAGAAACAAGTTATTAAAAAATACAGGAATTATAATGAAACAAAAATTTTTAATATAAAAACTGATCTGATAATGTCTTAATCTTTTTTTATACTGTATTTGAATGATATTCAGCTGTATGTGAATTGTGACTTCATTAATATCTTTGCTGATGACACTTTGTTGACATATTCTGATACAAACTTAATGGCAGCAGTCGAGAAAATAAATAGAATACTAGATAAAGTTGGACAGTGTTTTCTACTTAAATTAAACTTTTTTTTAAAAACAGAGAATACGTAATAAATGTGAAAAAAAAAATAAATAACCCTTAGGTTGGCAATTCAAGAATTCATTGCATGGGGTATTTGATAAAATAGTTGTCGTCATTTTGATCAAATATTAGGTTGATCCAAATTGTTCTAATAGTTAGTTTTCTCTTGAGTTATTCCCCTTATTTAAAAAAAAAATATTTAAATCTAAAAAGTTACCTGTAGGAGTAATAATTACTAAGTTATGTTTAAAATTAAATTCATTTTTGTTAATTTGAAATATTTTTAATCGTTCAATTTCCTATTTTTCATTAAAAATAAATTCAAAAATTATTGGTTTAGCTAACTACGGTCCTGCAATTTATTTCTTACTTTAGATCAAAGGCTAAAATAGTGTAAAATTAAAATGTTTGAAAAATACTAACTTATAAAAGTAATAATTTTCGTGTTCTATCATCAAATACTCATTTTAAAATTTTTAAAAATATTTTTTTTTATCAAAAAATTAATGTCTGTAAATTGATTTTTTTCGTTTTTTTTAGATAGCGGAAAGAAATGGTAAAATTTTGTCAAGCCCGACCTGAATAATAATTATTATTTTTAGGGCAGTATTTTTGTTATATTGAGATGAGTCTACTTACCAAATTTTATTTTTTTTTTATATCGAGTGGTTGTTGAATTTTAGCTTAAAAGAAATTCAGGCTAAATTCATAAAACACTCTGTATCTAGGTGAATTTTATTTTTTTTTTATACAGAGTGGTTGTTGAGTTTTAGCTTAAAAGAAATTTAGGCGAAATTCATAGGTGATGAATATAGACACATTAATAATGTATGATTTCAAATCATCTAAGTGTCGCACACCTACAACAGTTAACGGTACATTACATTCTGATACACTGTATGTATACATTTTCGGCCAAAGTTAAAATTTGGTGACTCTTTTTGATTGAATGTATACGCCCAATCACTGCAAATTAAGACGTACAATTTATTCTATTTTCTGTTCGGGTACGGTCGACTTTAGGTCCAGTAAAATTTTAAATAAATTTATTTTTTATCAGAAAGAGCGTATTTTAAATAGTACATTTCAAAAAAAAAAATTGCGGTAAATGCTATATTTAAGCCAAAAAAAATTATTTTATTTCTATAAAAATCAGCATTTTGACGACTGTAAACATGGAAACTCGATGGTTTCTGTCAAATTTAGAAAATATAAATACAACGTTGCCAGATTGTGATAAAATTAGTAGTTAATGGAAAATTGTGATTGCGCATACCGATCCATAAATATGCAACAAGAAAACGAAGCAACGATTTATCGTAGGGTGGCGGCTTTGCCGCCACCCTACGATAAGTCGTAAAGTGGCGGCTTCGCCGCCACCAATAAACATTAACCCATACCTGGCTACGCCGACCGGCACAGACTCCAACGGCCTGGACACAGCTCAAATTGAATTGAAAATGTAATTTTTTTTACCTAATTTCTTACGATTGCGCATACTAGTCCATAAATATGCAACAAAAAAACGAAACAACGACTTATCGTAAAGTGGCGGCTTCGCCGCCACCCTACGATAAGTCGTAGAGTGGCGGCTTCGCCGCCACCAATAAACATTAACCCATACCTGGCTACGCCGACCGGCATAGACTCCAACGGCCTGGACACAGCTCAAATTGAATTGAAAACGTAAACTTTTACATAATTTCTTGCGATTCCGCATACCAGTCCATAAATATGTAACAAGAAAACGAAGAGTGGCGGCTTCGCCGCCACCAAAAAACATCAACTCATACCTGGCTACGCCGACCGGCATAGACTCCAACGGCCTGGACACAGCTCAAATTGCATAATTGAAATGAAAAGTCTCATATAAACACATTTACATACTGGTTTTATCATTTGGCTTGGAGCTATTGAAAAAACAGCCACTGTCATTCCTGTTATGTACGTTCTTTTACTATGTTTGACAACTCCACATTTATAGAAATAAAAATATCAGTTGTCATATTATTCATAAAAATTAATATAGAACAGTATTACCATGAATATATTTATTTATAACAAATAAGAAAGAGCAATTGGCAACATCGCTAAAATCACGCACAGGCGCTTTTAGTGTAAATGTCAAATCGAAAAAATTAAAAACAATATGGCTACGTGAGATTGTAGTGAATAAATGCATATTCTTAATTTTTTAGCTTACAAATGTGTTTTAATAATATTTGTTACTTTAATTAGGTTAGTGCACACTTATAGAAGATTAAAAAGTGTAAAAATATTATGGTTTTACTTAATCTTTATGGAAAAAGTGACAAAATTACTGGACCTAATATCGACCGTAGCCTTCTGTTCTTTTCGGGAATAAAGTAGGTAGTATGTTCCTCTTAATATAAATGATCAAAATATAAATCGTGACCAGTGCTTTATTTAAAATCCAATTTGTTTGCCAAAATGTAAATCCCATTATTTGTGGGGAAATAAACTACTATTATAGTATAGATAAAAAAAACATACCTGGACATTTATAGTTAAACCTTTTCGCTTTTCCAAAAGACATTTTCTCGTACACTACCACCAGAAGTCTTAAACTTTAAATAAAACTGTTATTGCAGATATCTGTTACAAATTTAACTTGTTGTTGAATATTTGCGAAATAAATGTAAATTAAACCCTTCTCAAATAACAATTAAGATAATTTTATTAAGAATATTCCAGGAAGTTATAATCCAGAAGGTACCTAAATTTAGGTAGGTACCTGTTACTACTATTAACTCTGCCAATAATAGACACATTAAAGTGATTAATGTAAAAGAACATGAAATTACTTTATTTTGTACTGAATTTCTTATCATCCTTTTTGTAGAAGTAAAAGAATATTTACTTCTAGGAAATATTAAGGCTACATAAGAAATGAAGAAATTAAATTGTTAAGGTTCAATGGATCTACGAAATTAATTTAAAATTGACATATATAGTTCATATAGGTAAAGTGTAGAATAAATTAAACAACTTTCATACTGATTATAAAAAAAAATCGCTCAGGTCGATTTTATTTATTATCCAATTTTTAGAATTGATTTAGAATTGATTTACACAGCTATCTTAATTCTAAGGTCCTTCATTTGTTTGCTAGTTGACCAGTGAACTGTATAATAAAGGAATGCCAATTATTTCCGGTGCAAGTGTTACAAATAGTGCTCTGCGTTATAACAATATCTCGTAATGCACCGAGAAAAACAAATACGATTCTGGTTCCCCTAATTTAGGTAACTCTGACTCACTCAAGAACTGATGAACGTCCTTCGGCAGCGGTGGTAGGATTTTTTTTTTCGGTTCCTTTGTCTCAACATTGTATAAATGTCTTAACTTCGCGCGTTAGGGTTTGGAATACGTATCCCTCGTATCTACATGCAATTGTTAAAATTATGAATGAATGCGATTTTATCTAGTCTTGGAAGTAATTTTGTAGTATTTAGGCTCCACCCTTAAGTTGTAATTTTTATACCCACTAAACTACCGTTGCCCCGCAGGTCTTTCAGTTTGTAATGTAAATTGTCCTCTTAAACATATTTAAGTAGCCCTGGCTCTGTCTTATTAAAACCTGATCAGAATTTGGGTCGTTTAAAATGTCATTAAAAACTTGTTTTAAAAAATTTCAATTATTATGAAAATCTTAGAATTAGATGACCATCTTGTAACTAATAACCCTGCAAACATTTTGATGTAATTCGACGTCGATACTACCTAAATTATATATAATAAATTTGGTCGCAAAATTAGATTTAACCATAATTAAGTAAAATTTACGTTGGCTCGACGTGGATTCGACATAAGTGGAGAATAAGACGACGTCGAAATTTGGTTTTATTTACCAAAATAGGTAGAATTACATCTAAATCCACATTGTAGTAGCCCAGTACGTTTGGTTAGTAATACCTCTTTAGGGAAATTTGACGTCAGTATAACGTTAATTCGACGTTGATTTAACTAAGTTTAGGTAGAAATTACCAAAATATTTGCAGATGACGTATGCCTCCAAGTGTACGAAAAGAAATTTTATACTTATATGGTATTTTTATCTATATATAAGTAGAAATATTGTAAGAAGTCACCAACACAACTAAAACATATACCTAATTCACATGAAAGATTGAAAATAAATAAATGTCGGTGACAAAAATATATGTAATGTAATTGCGGTGAATATACAATTCACGCTTGTTGAAATTAATGCGAAGAAAAATTTGTCGTGCATGTTAACAGTTCTACTTAGAAAAATAACGATGCCCTTCCAAAATACTCTCTAATTAAAAAAATATAAGAAAAAAATATGATCGTGTAAAAAAGTAATAATATTATGAGCTAAAACTATGTTACGTTTATTGTGTATCACTTTAGAAAATCAATAATGTTTCGTTTTTCGGTATTTTCATTCGTATGTTCCAGTTATGGTCTAATAAAAATTTAAAATTTGGAATCTACTTCAATTACGTTAAGAAAATATGGCGTATTGTGCGAATTCGACCTAAAAGTTATTATGATTAAGAAAATCTACGTATTTTACAAATACCTTTTTACTAAGTTGAATTAACTTCAATTTCACGACATATTAGTTAACTTTACCTATTTAAAGAAATAATAACTTATAAGTTTTATAAAAAATTTACCTATAGGTAAATATAACATATTTAGGGCACGTTGTTTCGCACTTGAGAATTTAGATGTTTCACTTTACGATAAAAATAAAAAGTATAACGATATGATTTATTATTTTTCGAACTCATTTTATTAATTATTTTTCGCACTCATTTAAAGCTCTATCTAAACCACACGTAAATTAAGATTACGACTGTAATGGTTTTTTTTAAAGGGCCGAAATTCTTAAGAATAATGACGAAGACAGTAACTGAACAACCTAATTGTTAAAATAACCTAAATAATATAAATTTTACAAATAGGTCATGTATGACTCTTTTTAAATTGGTGGTTTTTAGTCGAGTTTACTTTGTGGTAGATTTTTCAGGTAATTGCTACAACAAAGTTAATAAATATTTCTTCGAGATGACTTATAGGTCAACTAAATGAGTATTCGACTATTTGGTTGAAATTAGGTAGATAAACAGGTAGAATTTTGCTACGATCTCGACCTAATATTACTTTAAAGGAGAGTAAATAAAAGCGGCCAAATAGGTTACTATGGAGGCATAAAATTACGTAGAATTTTTAACCAAATCTACCTAGTTGGATATTCTACTATAAAGACGATTTTTAGTTGCCAAACAGGTAGATATTACCTAAATATGGCACCTAATTTTGACTACAAAGGAAATTTAACTTTGAAGTAATTGTTGGTTATTTTTTTTAGTAGTTTTTCCCTTGCTGATATGGTTAAAGTTACTTTAAGACAGATTTGTGTAAAAGGTAGATTTCTTGGTATAATTTACGTAAATTTAAATATAAATTAAAACCGTTTGGTAAATTTACATTAGAGGTATATTTTTCTAGTCAATTTTACGTAATAATTACCTCAATAAGTAAATTCGTCTTTAACAAAGTCGAGTTATAACTAATGTTATAGAAAATGTTTGCTGGGAAAGTGGGTATTCGATTATTGATATTTACATGGACGGCGTGAGTTCTTTTTGCTGAATTATGAAAAAAGAAGGCAGACATTCACATTAGCAAAAAATATAAGGCTGTTACAGCTTTGACATAGGACTAAATTCAGACGGTGCGCCAAATAATGCTACTTCTTTAATCTTCGATTGTAAACCATTTAATTGTCCTGACATAACACTAACGCCGTCATAACATTGTCCAAGTTTTGATTTCTAGTCGTATTTTTCTAGACAACTTGTAACTAGGGTAAACAATGCTTGAGCTGTTCGATCAAAACTTGCATCATGGAATCCTAAAAATCTTTTAACTAGCTTTCCTTAAGAGTTAAAATACCTAATTATTGTGCTATATTGAGATTTTTTAGCAATATCTATTGAGTCGTCTACTTGAATGGAAAAAAATGCAATCATTTAATTCCATTTCAATATATTTGTTAATATATTGAGAAATACACTTTATTGAATTATTTTAGAATTTGCAACAAAGACAAGCGACTTTTTTTTTAAGTGTTGAATGTCTACAGAACTGAGTGAGATATAGGAATCTAAAAGTTTCTTAAAATTACCGCAATTTTCGGAAGATTTATCTTCATTGAGACCACCGAAATGCCAATTCTTGTTTTCCTAGAAAAAGAACTACACGAATTGGCAACTACATAAAACGTCTGTTTTAAGATGCACTTTTTTTCATTGAATTGTTTTACATATAGCCTAGAGTTTTCTTTTAAAGCGTCTTCAGAAGTATTATTATTTTTTTTAGTTCTGTAAATCTTAATGTACAACGCACATGTTTACATGATGATTCATGTTCATGTAGACCGCGAGTTACGTTCCCAAAATCACTAAAACCGTCTTTATGCCATACATTTGATTTTACACCTACTATTAAACAGGGTAGGCAAAAAAGCTTGTTTAAATAAAAACTACCACACAACCATTTACATTCGGAATACCACTCTTTCTGAACTTTTCGCACAAACACTTTGTCTTTTGACTTAGTTTTTTTGCTTACATTTAGTAGAGGTTCAGATTTTGGCGAATTTAAAAAGTCTTTTTTATCCTCACTTCCCCATCTACAGAATGGCATCTTCAATAGCATACATACTGGATCATGTACTGGAAACTTTGTTAGAAAAATCGACCAACTTGTTCAATCACTGTACAAAATAATAGTCCCGGCCGGAAGAAGCAAACTGAATCAACGCGTCAAGTGCATTAATTGATCGAAATGTGTCGTTACCATGGCAACCATCATAAACGCGCCGATAGAAGAGATGCGTGTTCGGCGGTTTCATGCATAGCACGTCAAGCGCTCCATTCGCTCGGATTAGGAAATCTTTCTGTTGTATTATATTTCCTAAAACAAGCGAGCCCGGACGGTCGGATTTTTTTTATCAAGTGCCTCGTTTGTTTCATGCAGTGGTTCAGATACCCCGAAATTGGGTGTAGTTTTGGAGGTTTCTGGTTTGTAATTTGTATAGAGACAAAAAAGCAGGGCATTTTGTTACAGAAAAAGAAATATTTAGCTATTAGTTGATTTTTTTATTAGTTTCTACTGAAATTTTGGTGAAGCTGCGCCTTCACCTGCGTCATCTAGCGCACCGCCACTGTACAGCGTTATTCAGCGTTTGAAGGTGTATTCCAAATAATAATTTAAACCAAACTGGGGTCTATTCTGTAACAATTCCTTTATATTTAACGGCCATTAAAAATATTTTCTTCTTTACTTCTGTCATTATTTAAACGGATCTTTAAAATACATTAGAGGACTATCTTAAAGAAATCTGTTTAAATAATGACAGAAGTAAATTAACGAATACAAACATATTTTTATAGGCCGCCAATATTTTTGAAGGCCGTTAAATATAAAGGAATTGTTACAGAATAGACCCCAATGTTGTGCATAACAAACCGTTGTCTCTGATATCAACCTACTGCCATCTAAAGTTACTAATCAATACTTGATCAAAACCATTACAGGTTACAATGTTTAAAGTATAATAATTTTTGCTATTGAAGGATAGATGGAGTCATGTATTAAAAAATTTATAATATAATTTAAATCTATTTAGATCAAAAGAATTTAGGAAATTTATTAATAAAAAAAAAATTATTACAACTTGAAACAATAATGATATTTATGTTATTAGGTATATTATTGATTATTTTTAGTGTGTTTATTCTTAAATAATATGATTATATGTACTAATTATTAAAATAATCCTTTGAATGAAAA